ACGGTTAATTTGATCAACTTTTAGAACTACACTGGCTAGCATATAGATGTCCTCAATGCTAAACCGTTAATAAAGCATGACCAACTTGAACACAAGTGGAAAAGGTTTCGCCCTTGCGCAAAAATGCCATAGCGTGGATACCTATTGGAATGACTGAATTTTGCTTCATGGGGGCAAAACATTTGTCAGGATGTTTCTTGTGAATCATGATTGATTAGTCACATGACATTTACGGTTCAGGTGATTGGCTAAAGAATTGACATTTGGCTGTTGAGCAAGTACCGTTGAAGTAATTGCTAATGCTAAAAGATAGCTTTCTCTTTGCTCAAAGCTAATAGTCAAGTCACTTACTGCACTTTATACATTACAGATTGCGTAATAGTCTACTTAAACTTAAAACTACTAATCTCTAATTTTGTTTTCAAGTAAAATATAGATTATTTTCTTACCCTACAAAGACAGACACACACTTAAAAATATTAGCTATTTGCTCGCTTGTGATCTGATCCTCTGTTTTTCACACGCCCCTCGCACATACACACAAAAAACACACACTTTAATACGTGATCGCCTCCCTTAACACAGATCATTGCCTCACCTCCCTCTGGAGCTTTTATTGTTGCTGTGAATGTCTCCTCATTTATCTCTCCTCTTGTTCCCTCAATGTTTTCCTGGAGAGCCTCATGGCCATAAATCTTCAAAAGACATTCAGCCACACAAAGGAAATGCCACAGGCCATCACCTGACCTGCCGCCTCTCAAGACTTCTCATCAATCAATCCATTTAAGGGTGAAAAACACTTTCTGTCAAGCTTTTTCCAGAACCTCGACATAAAAAAGATGACCAGCTCTCATTGACGGGTGAGATGCCTCAGTCTGGCGTATCAGATTCTCTCTTTATTCTCTGCAGCAATTTAAAAAGAAGTCAACAGAAGACACTTTACTAACCTCAACTAATAAGGCAGCACTTATACTGTGCAAACATTATTATTGGACAGAATGTTCACAAAGACACAGCAAAAGTTTTTGAACACCTACAAAAAGACTGCTGCGCTCTGATTAGCTTAGAAAAAAATCACTATAATACAGAAAGAGGAAAGGCAGTAATTACCTTGATCACTCTTCATTGTTCCCGTTATGGAGGATCGTAGCAGCTCTGAAATTCTCTGACTATAATTAAAGCCGGCTGCCATCGCTGGTGACGGAACCTTCCTGGAGGTGAGAGCAGTATCTCAATACTAAAAGACACTTTTAATTGAGCATAACCGAGAAAGGGAAATCAGTAATGGTTTGACGGTCCAAAACAACAGGGAGAGAGAAATTAATGTAGTGGCCTTTACATGGCCATATTAAAGCAGTCATACAAATGCATACTCACATTTCTCTGACAGAAAACATTTGGCAGTTTTGGAAACAAACAAATATTATTTACTGAATTCGTACATAATTTTTACATTATTGAATGTCCTGTAATGACAGATTTTGTATGCTCAATTTTTTTTCTCTCAAATTTAGATCACGTCAAGGTACAAATTTGTCCCCAAAATATGGTTAAGTATGTCCACACAAATGTACAAAATTAGGCCTGAAATTCCTGAAACGTCTTTAAAATGTCTAAATATAATTTAAAACGCGTCTTTATAATTTTTTTTAGCAATCAACATTAAATAAATTAACCTAAATATCAGAATTTATAACAATAATGATTACATTTTTTAATTTTTATAATAATAATTTAATAATAATGTTATATTTAAAAAATAAAAAGGCAAACAACAGTGTTACAAATTTAACCTAAAGTATCCTTATATTTCCTGTAAATTAAAGAAGTTTATTTTATTTATTTTTTTTTACAATAATTTGGGTAACAGTTTTGAATGGTTGAACACATTGAATGCAGTCAGCATAGCTGTACAAACTGAATAAAAGGAAGGCAATATTTCCTTCATGCCACGTGTCATGTGTCACAGATACATTTTTGGTAATACAGGAAAAATCAAGCGGTTACAGGGTTACCCAAAATATTAACTGTAGAACAAAGCTAAACATTACAATTTTGATCATTTACTATGACAGTCAATATACAGTACATATATGAGATACATTTGAAGTGTTAAAAAAAAAAGGTAGTTTTTTATACTGGAATTTAATCTAGCATAACTAATAGTTCTAAACATGGAATTTCCATTTTTAGTGCTTTCACAAAAAGTCAAGGGACACCAAAATGTACTGTACCTGTGAAAAGTGCAGAACAAAAACGTTTTCAGAAGGTCAGAGAACGTGAAGCCTCTAAAGGGCACTTCCGCTAAAGAGACTAATTCTTAAATCATTCCACCTGTAATGAAACGACCTTTCCGTATGAACTTAATCCCAATAAAGTGTCTCATATTGGCCTCGGTAGACTCATATGTGCAAAATCAAACAGTTCATGCTTGAAGGTGGAGCGTAATGAGATGCAACCTTCCGAGTCCTTCTGCTGTAGGGCGGACGCCAATGTGACAATGGCATTTCAAACTTTCTAATGAAATTATTCTAGGCGTCCTCTGTCAACTAGACAGTCAGAAGCTATTTGTGCTTTGACGGCTCTTCTGAAGGGATGTTCTGGGACAGGGGTGAGATGGCTGGTTATGTTATCCGTGTGCCTTGTATGAAACGTTCCGGTCCGACAGACTTACACCAGGGTGTGTGAGTGACTTTTTCTTCTTTTCCCTGCTGTTCCCATTGCCCAGGGATGTCCTGCCTGGGATGACATTTACAAGCAGAACGCAGGGTACAAGAAGCATGGGGATAGATTACCAGACTGACAACTGCCAGTGGCACGCTGTGTCTGTTTACCTTTGTACTTTGGGAGATTATAGAGTCAGCACATAGTGATTTTTAGATTTCTGCTAATACCCTCATAATGACAGGGTATGTGATCCATGCAACCTGAAAACCTTATGGCACATTGGCACAGCCTGAACAGCACATCAGTTTCACATTTTACAAATCAATTACATTTAATTTAATTAAAGAAAGACACTGGCAAAAATATGTACTTGTCAGTTGTGAGATTTTGGGCTTTTCATAACATGTTTCAGACTAGTGGAAAGAAAGCATTAAAAACAGTTCAAGTGTTTATTACACTTTATCTATTTGCATCTGTAGATTTCAATTATAGTATATATTTTAAAAGTCTTTTTGGTCACACTTTATTCTAAGGTCCAGTTCTTGCTGTTAACAAACTATTAACTATGACTTCTGCTTCAATAAACTCCTAATTTGTTGCTTCTTAATAGTTAGTAAGGTAGTTGTTAAGTTTAGGTATTGATTAGGCATGTAGAATATGGTCATGCAGAATATGTGCTTTATAAGTACTAATAAACAACCAATATGTTAATAATAGACATGCTAATAAGCAACTAGTTAATAGTGAGAATTGGTGACTATACTAAAGTGTTACCGTCTGTTTTTTCAAAATAATTTTTTTTTCTTGCACTGAGCAAGACATGTCCACTTCTTTCAACTTTACAGCTTTTTATTGTATTTTATACAAATAAAATAAATTGGTATAAAATACCAATTTTATATTGGTATAAATAATCAATATAAATAACCCCCCACAATGTTCAGATTTCTGTCCTGGAAATGCATGCAAATTAGTGCATATTTAATTAGATAATGCATAATTTGCATATTAAAACATAACATTTCAGAAAACTTTAGAAAATTCTTAAATTAATCAATCAACTGGGGAAGTATGGTGATATATATTTCATAATTTTCTAATCCTAGGCACTTGGGGTGCCTTATATGAATTCACAAAATGTCCACTGAATTATTTTCAGAAAACTTATATTATTTTTACATTTTTATGCTTAAATAAATAAATAATACTGTAAAATAGTGCATTTTATGTAAAGTGTTGTTTCACCATTGCCCATAAAATTCTATTTAATTTATGAAATATGAAATATATATAAAAAATTGATCATTAATAACATTAACATTAATATATTAGTAATATATATATATTATATACAGTAATATATTAGTATTATTTCTGTAAATAACTCTGTGTTTATGGAAACAGGATTATTAGTAATTTATGCTGACAGTGAATGTAATATTATTAAAAACTACACAGACAGCTATTGATTTTATTCTACTTCCCTGATTTCATTTTGGAGTTACAATTCATGTCAAATCATGTTTAATAGGGATTAAATTGGAATTTAAAAGGCGTTCTCAATTCAATCTGGAATGGCACACAACTCCTCCAACTATAGACTTCCAAGAGAAGAAGCTGCAGGGGAAGAAACGATAACATCGTCCTGAGAGGAGACTTCTTTAATTGAACATTTTCATTAGTTACCAAAGGGTGATGTGAACTGGAACAGGTTTGATTGGGTTTTTATTTATGTACATGCTCACAAGTGCCTCCCGTCTTCATTGTGGTACACACACACACACACTGGAGGTTGTCATGGCAACCTTCACCTGTTGTTGCGAGAGGGGAGAATTTCAAACAGTCCGTTATCACAGAAGCAGAGCATCCTCTGATCCCATACTCCAACGTGTTACTCGTAGAATAAAGAAACCGAGGCAAATTGCATGATGACAGCCAATTTCATAAAGTCAAAAATTTAATTCATGTTATATTATGTCTTTGCAGCTCTTTAAATACTAATTCCAGAATGCCACAATGATATAATCAGCTATTAAACAAGCAATTAAACCTGCAGTTAAAGAGTGAAATGTGTAAAAGATATTTCAAACTTATTTTCAACATACCGTGCGGTACGACGACAGCTGCAAATCAGTTTCGGCACATTTTAGCTTGTTTGTGACGGCAAAACTTCAAGTCATCACCGCTCTTCGGTAATTCAGGGGTGCCAAACTCAATCTCATATGCGTCCTTTTTTTTAAACTTGATTATCACAGCTAAGTCATGCGCATTGCTGATGATGCCTATATAAAGCATAAAGAGAAGATTCAATTATCACCTCTCTTCTCTTTCAGCTCTATCAGATCGCATGAACGAAGTGCTAACTCTTTCAACATGGCTGCTGTTGACGTAAAGAGTCAACTTTATCCCACACACTTCCAAAATGTGATTACAACACTCTCAGACACCAGACAAGTTAACATACTCTACAAAGCCCGAAAATCTTGTCTGATCGTGACAGTTTCAAGGTAAGAGCTTTGACTAGAATGAAAGCGAACCAGATACAAACATCTGAACACATTTACAGCATAAAACGACAACATTTTGTTGGCATTCGATGACAAATGGAGATAGAGACTGAAGACATATGACTGCATTTCCAAGCACTCTGCATATAAACGACTGTGAAATGAGGGCGCTT